AAGTGCCAAAAGTAAAACAAAAAAAAAACCCCAAAACCCAAAAAAACATTGCAAAAGAGGTATGGGCCTGTTTATTTCCTTTTATAAGCAGATCTTTAATTAGATGGCCAATACTCACCCCAGCTTGCTCAGAGCCCATCTGACCCAGCCTTGGACACTTCTAGGGATGGGGCAGCCACAGCTTCTCTGGGCAACCTGGGCCAGGGCCTCACCACCCTCACAGGAAACAATTTCTTCCTCATATCCAATCTAAACCCACGCTCTGTCACTGTGAAGCCATTGCCCCTTGTCCTGTCACTCCAGGCCCTTGTCAAGAGTCTCTCTCCATCTTTCCTGTGGGTTCCCTTCAGGCACTGCAAGGCCACAATGAGGTCACCCCAAAGCCTTCTCTTCCCCAGGCTGAACAATCCCAATTGTTCCCTCAGCCTTTCCTCCCAGCAGAGCTGCTCCATCCCTCTGATGCCCTTGGTGTCCCTGCTGTGGCCTGGCTGCAGCAGCTCCCTGTCCTTCCTGTGCTGGGCCCAGGGCTGGATGCAGCCCTGCAGGGGGGGCTCAGCAGAGCCGGGCAGAGGGGCAGAATCCCCCTCCCCTGCTGCCCACACTGGGGGCTCAGCCCAGCACAGGGAGGGGTTCTGGATCCCAGAACTGGCACTGGTGCTGCTCCTTGCTCTGAATGTGGTCTCAGGCTGCACTGAAGTCGCACAGTTCATGGGCCTGTGTCTCCCACCAAGCTTTGTGTACCTGCAGCTGAGTTTATCCTGTACATGTGAGTTATCAGAAAGCCTTTTTTCCATTTTTTTGCCTTTCCCCTCATGGTACTTAATCCTTCAGATGATTTCTGCAGCCATTTGTGTAGGTAAGAGGAGGAGGGATGCTTTTTGTTACTGCACAGGACTAATATGTCTTGTGTCAAGACCCTACAGAAGATGCCAACCCCTCTTAGACTCTTTCAGCAAAGCATGGGCTGCTCTCATGACCCCTTTGAGATGTCTGTCTGTGTTTGATCCCTTTTGAGCTGCTTTTCAGAGTTCAACCAGAGCTTAATGAATCATGAAGCTGTTGCAGGGGCTGTTGCAGGAGATGGGTAGATGGAATTCTTCCTGATGTATCTTCCCCTAGCTTTGAAGTTGATCCTGCACTCATCTAAGAGTTTGGATTCAAGCCCTCCCACAGTCCTTCTCCATCTAAATATCTCCACAGAAACAGAGACATTATTAAGTTTCAAATTACCTATGAGGGAGCAGAAAATGGGGTAAACTCATCAAAATGTTTCCTATTCTTCAAAGCGATGTGAGGTTTATCCACCATCTCTTGTCCCCAAAATTCCTGGGAGATTTTTCATCCCCCAAGCTGAAAACACAGAGTGGGAAGGGAACATGGGAAGTGCCCATGCCTCCCAGGACACCTGGACGCTACCCAGGCAAGAAATCTGAATTACACAAATTCAATACATTCAATACATGTGTACCAATACATACTCTGGTTCCAGAGGTGAATAAAAACTAGTTTTGGAGGAGGAGTTAACACAGCATTTCTGAATCAAGATAAAAAACAAATGTTAAGAGGGATTTAGAGTCAAAACACTACCAAAAATGTATAAAATTTTATTTTATGAATACATTAAACTATTGTGCGCAGCACATACATATAAAAATAGAAGCAATTTCACAAACAATTGATTGGACAGTTTTGTGTTTCTTGCAAATTTACAGTCTCAATTGTGAGTCCATATTGAGAACATGAGGTATATTTTAGTGAAAAAAAAAGTAATCCGAGAACTTTGGCACCATTTTATTGTGCAAAATAAAATCTTGGAATTGAAATAATTAGTGAGGTATACAAATATTACTCTGCTTTTCCACTGTGAGTGTGTCTGAGTCTCTGCGTGTCTGGGAAAAAGACATTTATTTAAGAACATGATTCAGTTCCAGCCAAATCTTCTTTCTAAGAGGGGTGGATTAAATCACAGAATGTTATGGGGTTTGCCTGAGGAAGGAAAAACTGTAAAAATAGGCATCAACTCCACAGGAGAATCCCATGTGCAAAATGTGGGCATGACAGGCTCCTGTGGAGCATTCACAGCTATGCTTTCAAAGCTCATAGCCCATGGCATGACCCCTGTTAATGCACAGTTGAGATATGTTTTGAAGTTCCTAATTTTGCCCTGATTTGGGAACTCCCTTTAGTTTCATGAGTTTTCTTTATGTAGTCACATACCCTTCTTTGATTTCAGCTGTGATTTCCATGTTGATCTGGCTGGCAATGAGGAAAAAAGCAGTGATATAAAGAATAACTCAGCAGAGTGACTGATGGGGCTTTCCGTGCCCACCAAAAGATCCAAAAGGGTCTGCAGTTTGTAAGAACAGTTTCAGCCTAGCAGGCTGTGACTAAACAGACTTACAGAATCACAGAATGACTGAGGTTGGAAAACACCTCCAAGATCATCAAGTCCAACCTTTGACAAATCCCCACCTTGTCAACCAGAACTACATACAGTCATTTCCTGAGCACTTCCCAGGATGGTGACTCCACCACCTCTCTGGGCAGCCTGTTCCAATGCCTGACCACCCCTTCAGTGAAGAAATTCTTCCTGATGTCCAACCTGAACCTCCCCTGGCACAGCTTGAGGCCATTTCCTCTTGTCCTGACTTCTTGTGACCTGGTCTACAGGTTGTCTTCGCTTGACCAGTGTGTGCAAAATGGAGCCAGTGAGTCTGATTCCCACCTTTTGTGCCAGCTGTCCCAACACTTACCAATCCTGCCAACAATCACTTTCTCTAGGCTGCCCTGCTTTAAGAGAGAACAGACTTTATCCTGTCATAAGGATGCTAGATTAAGCTGTGATCAGAAACAAACTTGTGTGCTGGTATTTGACCTCTCTTTCCTTCTACATCCCTGAACTCTTCCATACTTCTTCAAACTTCATTTCAAAGACAATTAGGAATATAACACCAGGATACAGGTTGCCAGCTAACGTATTTCGGCACAGCTCTCTGTACCTCTAGGGACTCTAGGTCAATGTGCTGCCTGATACTTTCCAAACTTTTCTTTGACCCACTCTCTCCCCACTGAAAACATCCTGATTTTTCACTTCAAATGCACATTTTCCCAAAGCAAACTGCTGCACATGCTGTGGGTGAACAAAGTGTGTCATTCTGGCTTCTCTCTGAAATACTGCAAGACCAGAAAATTAAGAGCAGTTATTTTCACTCTTTTCCTTCCAATGCATCCCATTCCTGTACTGTGAGCAGCATTCCACTCTTTTTTTTCTCTTCATTTACACTGTGATCGTCACTTACATTTGAACCAGATAAATTCAAGTATAAGTCACACTAGAGATGCTGGAAAACTGTATCTTGTTCAGAAAACAATTGCCTTGACAGTTTCTCAGGAATGGCGGTGGTGGGTACATCATTGTGGTATGTCCTTTGGGCCAAATCTTCTGCAGCTATAAACTGGTAGTTTTCCTGGGATGATTCACTCCAGCTGAGGATCTGGCCCTGACAGTGTCTCTCCTGCATGTCAGAAGGCTCAAATTCATCACGAATAGACAGCCCCTGCAAATAGAATGGCATGTCAAGGCTGGACATAGCCTCATTTTGGCTGGACGTGGGAGATAATCTTGCACTCAGATATTCACTTCTGCAGCAGCATGGTCCATCTATGCTGAAAATGCTCATGCTCTGACATTGCATTGAATCTAGTTTCAAATTTAGGAGCACGCCACCAATGCAGGAATCCCAAGGCTTCTGGTAGCTGACATTTATAGTGACTATTGACTTAGGGCCTCTTAAAATACTCTTTCAAAGGCACAGAGAATGCAGCTTCATTGGAGATCTGGAAAAGGGTTGTCAAAATAGCAAGGCAAGGTTATGTGCCATTTGTACAGCTTCTAGGAGAGCTTTGAGAAGTGTTTCATCCAGCTTGATGTGTTGTCTTTGAAACTGATGCTTTGCAAGTGACAGAAATTGGAATTATGGCATGAATTCCTCTGTCCCAACATGGGAAGGTATGCTTGTGTAGCCTCCTTCTTTCTCTGTCCTTCATACCTCAGGGAGGTATGGTAGAGAAGAACCAAATATACTTAAGATGGTGACAATTCAACACAGAGTTTTCTAAAATAACCCTTTGCTGTAAGCTCCCATGAATTTCTTATATTTTATAAAATGCATCCCACAGAGCAGTTCTAGTTCTTAGAGATTAACAACATTCAGGTTAAATGAAATAGTGACTTAAAATATTTCTTTTCTTTTTTATAAAGACATCTGGGCATCAGGAGACTGGGATGATCAGTTCATTAAACGTATGTAATTACATAGATGCACACTCACATATCCCATGTCTAAATATATACAAATATTAATATTAAAGATGTACACATCTGTATTGGAGGTAAATCTAAACTAAGCTCACAAAATGCCATTCAAAATCCTGAGCTCCAAATCAGTTTTGCATTTGGGACCCATCTGTGATTTATCCTGTGGCCCTTCCCACAGGAAATTGATTGTAGGTCTTCATCCTGCCAACCAGTCCATGCGAGGAAACCCTGGAGAATCCCTTCAGAGACAGAGGGGATCCGGGAACAGACAGTTTGCTTGTGTAGAAACAGTTGTGGAATTGGCACCTTAATGCTCAAAACAGGTTGAGGACTTTACAGGACAGGACACAGTCAGTGAAGGGGGGTGCAGGCAGATATTCAGATGGAGTGAACTGCCTGAAGCTCTGGTGAAACAAAATCATCTGCTGATTTGGCCCATGATATGTAAACTGCTCACTACAAAAGGTTATTATCTGAGGTAAATAATATTTAGTAAATCACCTATGATTATTAGATGGTTGCCCACAGCCATTCCACATCTTCCAAAAACTTCCTTTGCACTCCAGCTTGCATTGTCCTCTGTACAGCACCAAAGGAGGCACACAGCCATGTAAAAATTGTACAGAGTAGAAGAGAAGCAGCATTGTAGTACAAATGCAATGTGATGAATCTAGTACAAATATTTTTATCCAAATATACACATACATATAGAGATTTCTTTTTTTTTTTTTTTTTTCATAATGACCAGTATAAATACTTTACCTGGGAGGTTATTCCCCATGTGCAAAACAAAACAGTGTGTCCTGGGATTTAATCTTCTGTTTTACTGGTGCTCATATTCTTGGTAAGAAGTGGGTCACTGTCATGGCAGGAGAAACCTTGTTCCCTCTCTTCACCCTGCCGTGTTTGCTCAGGGCTATGTAAGCTCCGCGGTGAACGTTGGATTCATATGCGTTGTAGTTATTGGGCAGCAAGGTCTCCTTGAATTTACACTCATCTTGGAAAACAGCCTAAGGAACAGCAAGGGGAGGGGGTGGGGATACAAATCAGGTACAATCAATATTCCACCAAGGCCCAGGTCATTTTTCTTCCTCGCGTTTTTACACCAGGGCTCATTGCAGTGTGCGACAGGTGGTGCCGCAGCCACTGCGGCCAACAATAAATCTCCCTCCTCGGTGCTAATTTGGTGTCAGATGAACACAGATGCCACCTGTCCAGATAATTGACTGTGTATTTCCTGTGGCAGATCAAGTTAATTCATTATAAATCATGGTTTTCTTCATTTTATTCGCAAGTAATGATTTCTGTCAGCATCACACCCTCTCACCCAAACGACAGCTTTAAGACCTCCCCTCTGCGAGTTCTGTCATTTATAAAAAAAATTATATGCTGGTTGTCAAAACCTTCAAAGGTTTTCCAAACAGCAGTGTCCGGGGTCAACTACTTGCTTGAATAAGAGATTTGATTAGCAATAAATCTTTTCTCTTTTAAACCATTAGTAATATTTAACTATGCAGCCGGTTCTAAACTGAGAAAATAGTTTTAATTTCCTTTATGTCAAAACATGAAAACCCAAGGAGAGGGAGTTATTTGGGAGAGAAGGTGCAAGGACAAGCAGGAATTCAGAGGAAATTAAAAGAGAAAGCAGAATAATTCTCTGACTTACAATGTCTGGCACGTAAGATGCCATCAATGCATTTCTATTTGGGCATCTCTGCAATAACACCCCACAAAGCCTGTAAGAGTTTAACTGAAGGCATCGTACTGTGCAAGGGAAAATTCACATCTCTTACAGTTTTTGCCAGTGTCTTTGAAGATAAACAAAACTGTATTGAAAGTGGGGGAAAAATCAAAGGGATTTCTGAAGCCAGACCCTGCACTTCTTTAGGAAAACTCAGCTAAGTAAAGTAGTTGGACTTGTGGCACTTTTTAAGTGCTTGTGATCACTTGTGATTGAAAGAATATTGCTAAAATATTGCTGAAATGGGACCTTAAAGTGACCTACTGTCATTGTGAGTGTGAGAAGCAATAAGTCAGGTTAGTAATAACCACTCACAACATTTGGCATTATTTTTAACAACTGCAGTGCTTTGTTGAAATTACAGCTGTTCAAAAGGAAAGACTCTGCTGTTCCTTGACAAAAGAGATTGATACAACCAGTACTATTCATTACTTTGAGATGGCCTGATTTTTCCTATTGCCCAGAGCCAGCCTCTTTCAAATGCATCTCCTAACAAGCACTTTTTCTCCTGGGTGTTGGGAGGGGAGATGTGGAGATGTGTGGCTCACATCTCAGAGGTTAAACTGCATTTAGATATCAAATCATCTAGATGAGGATGATGGTATTTCAGTATGATTTGCATACCATTGTTAATAGCTATTATTATTTTCTCACCCTTTGCAACTGATCTCACAAAACTGATCATTAAAATAACCCCAGCCACACGTTGACCTTGTAGGGTAGACTTCCTATTTATTCTTGATGGTGTGGTTGTTTTTGGTAGGAGGGAGCATGTGATCATTATTTTACTAAGGGTAACTGTTGGAAATAGCCTATAACTGTGCCTCTCCTACACACAATGCAATGCAGGATGGATTCAACAGGGCTCAGCTTTGCTACAATGTGTTTGCAGCGCTGTGACCTTAGAAGAAGCCATCTAATTAATCAGTATGATTTGCAGAATATGTTCATTTTCCTAAGGTGTTCCCTGTACATTCTTACAGGAAAGCTTTAAAATCCCAGCCCTGTAGCAGCCACGCTGCTCGTTGCATTAAATAGCACTGATGACAGCAGGCTGGGCAGGCTCCCTGTAACACGAGGGCTATTTTCTCTGCTTGTAATCAGAGATTTCCATAAGGAAAAGACTGAAACAAACAAAACCAAAACAAACTAAACCAAAACAAACAAAGCAAAACACTAAACCAAAACAAACCACTTCAAAACCTTTTTGTTTAAACTGTGAAAACCTACTTGCACATGTACTTACCGTCCCATACAACCTGCCCTTGCTGTTCATTGCAATGAAGAGAGCACTTTTCACACCAAGCAGACTTACAACTCCTCTTTCTACAGTGGATATTTCAAAGAGACCTGAAAAACGCAAAGTTTAATAGGAATGTTATCACAGAATCTAGAGCTAATGGAAGGCAATTCAGATATATATTTTTTTAAAAACATGAACAAACTTGTTATATATTCTTTATAAGAATTATCTCCTTAATACAGCAAAATATATACACATAGAGTAGATCTTGGGTTTTCCTAAACGTCACAGGAGTTGAAAATAATTATTCTAGAATTGTAATCATATTCTGTATAAGACTTTCATTTTATCAAACTCTTTTGATTTGTCAAGCTCTAGACCTTTTCAATAAGAGAATTATTCGTATGTGATATGTTATACTTACAAAAGGTTTTTTACTGAGCCTTAAAGAAGTGTGTCTTGCATTTTGAAGTCCCACATGACATCTGCTGCAAAAGATTTTAGCAAGTGCCCTCTACAGGAAATTAAAATCCACATGACTAATGCTTTCCTTAATTCTTAGGGTATCAGCATAGCACCCACAAGAATGAGCAAACCAGGACCAGCAAATCCCTTCCATGGGACACACTGAGTGTCCAAAAAAAAATGGTCAGCCAGGATTCAAGAATCATGCTTTGGCACTCTGGACTCAGCAAAAAAAATCCTGGATTCAAAAGGCAAAGGAGAAGGTGAGAAGCAAGAAAATGCAGCAGAGTCAGTTTTGGACCTGCTTTGTCTTTTCTCATCTGCGCAGCAAAGCAGGTAAAAATAAATTCTATCTAAATTTGTCTAAGCATTTTGTGCCACGTTTCAGCCCGAAGGGTTCTCATGTTTATTGATCCCAGAGACTTTTAAAAGGCAACAGATGTAGCACAGATTAATAATATCACGTCATAACATTTGCACTCTGTGAAGGGTAATTACTAGAGTTCACAGCAATTAAGTGACATCTATTCTATTTCATTTCTGGATGCAACTCACTGTATTGGTTTTCATTGTGAACTCCGCTTATCCTTCCGTCTGGGAGGATTTGAAGGTGAAACCCGATGCCCACGTTGCAGTAAAGCCTCCGCTGCCTCTTGATTCCTAGCAAATAGTCACTCTCCCAGTTCACATCTGCCTTCTCCCCTGACATCCCAGCCATGGACCTGGACAGCAGAGATTGCCATCCTCTCTCCAGCAATGTGCCATTAGTTCTGCTTACAACTGGGTGTGTGGCAGCAATCCGGGCTAGCAAACCCAGGAGAAGGAAGGCAGGCAGCGTCCGGTGAGCGCTGGCGTCGCAGGACATAGTGATGAGAAGTCTTTGTGCCGTGGCCATCCGGTTCACCTCCTGGGCACGTGGTCAGAATTAATGGCCCTAAAAATACCGCCCTTCTTGTTTTTCTCCCTTCAGCATGGTGGCAGAGGCTTATTTTTGGAAAGCAAATAGAGCTTGCTGACCTGAAACTAAAGCTAGATAGCAGTTGGGTTGGGAGCAGAGACAGGCCAGCAGGACTCCAAGTGGTGGGGACCATGGTTTGTAGATCCTGCTTCCCGCTGGGCAGCCTCCGTTATATTTGATTGAGCCATCTTTATAGTGCATGGGCTGTCCCTGCCCACATCATCACTCTGACATCAACAGCCTGCCCAAGGTGAGGCTGCCAGGGCTGTAACACAAACCTGCCATCCTCCCTGCCTGCTGAGGTTGGAGTGCTGTCACCCAAGACTGGAGGCAGGAGTGGGATTTCATTGGCTGTGGGAAGCAAAGGAGTCAAATTGGTCGGGGAGTCAGAAGCCTCTCAGGCAGCTTCCTTATTTAGAGAAGAAGGTGTAAAAACAGTTCTGGACCTCATCAGTGAGCAATGAGAGGTTTGCAGCCACTTCCTTGGTGGCACGATCGACGGGTGCTTGTCGGGGCACCTCGATACTCAGGGACAATCGGCTTGAGGTGACCACAGCTCTTTTTGTGCACATCCTGCAAATCCAAGGCACCTGTTACTGAGGGACCCACCTGTTAACCTCTGTCTGTACCTCTGCAGGGAGTGCTCCTGGCTGGCTAAAGGAGAGGTAAGCCATGCTGCAGGGACAGAAGCCCCAGCTCCTACTGGTTTTATCCTAGCGGGAATTCTGCTGAGCAGGGCACATAGGCTGGAGCATTGATCTCGCAGTGACCCATAGCTGGGAACATTAGACCTCCCTGTTTTTCACTGAGGTGACTTGCAAATGATCACATTTACCTGAGGAGGGTGTGTGCCTCCTGCAGGGGGGCAATCGTGTTTGTAGAAACAAGACAAGGACTTAGGTGATATGTTAAAGATGAGGAAAAAGTTAAATGGCCACAGCTTACTGGTGTTTCACTGTCTCCTTTCCTCTGGCCCAAATATTCCCTGTTTTCATAAATTATGACCAGCTTAATTTGCCTCCCCATCTGTTTGCTCTGACTGTCTTGTTTCCCCTCATTTTTCCACTGATACTGCTTCAGCTCCTTTGGAGTTTGACACATTAGACTTTTATCTCAATTAGTTTCGCAGAACTTACCAAGACATAAGTCAGAGGAAAATGGACTAGATTTATATAAATACTTTTGTCAATATGTCTGTCAGCTTCTCATAGCACAGGCCTTGCATCTTCTGTGTCATTTGAGGAGTACCTGGAAGCATAATTAAACTGAGCACACCCAGTGTGAGAGAGTTTGATATTAGCAGAGGTGTAATACAGGGCCTGAGACACTGCAGACTCCCCAGCATGAGCCCCATGAGGTGAAGGGGAGCCCCTGGCAGCTCTGAGGCAGGTGAACAGTCAGAGTCAGTGCTGTATGTGAATATCGATTGCTCTCAGGAGACAGGGTCAGCTATAAAGTAATTGGGAACCACAGGGCTAGGCCCTGGCTTGTGCCAGGTGACATTTCAAGGTCTCTGTGCCTTTGCTAAAGCTGAACTTGGACTATCACAGAAACACAGAATAACCTGAGCTAGAATGGACCCACTGGGATCATGCAAGTCCAATGCCTGGCTCTGCACAGGACACCTCAGCAATCCCACCCTGTGCCTGAGAGCCTTGTCCAAACACTCCCTGAACTCTGGCAGGCTTGGGATGGTGGCCAAAGGAATGATATCTTTAGCTGACAAAAAAAATCCTCAGGTCCTTTTCTCTCCTGTTTTCTACTTTATCTGGTGATTTTTCATCTATGCAAAGCACATATATATATATATATTTTAGGAAGAAATAATACTAGTATTTTACACCCTCATCATAGCTGCAGTCCTCATGAGAAGGACAGCATCACTGGGAAACAAAGGCTGGGGTCCCTGTTACAAGAATGGAGCACTGATTTCCCACTTTTGCTTATGCTGCATCATGAAACCTGCCCATTCCCAATGCATGTGACTCCTGGCAACACCGCCTGATCTCAGAGCCATCACTGTCTGTAAAATCATGCATTGTAATATTTTCTTTCCTGTTTATTTTTCCCCCTAGACAACTTTCCAAGTGTAATGGGTGCATTAGGGTTTTCCATCCTCAGCTTTACTCACCTTTGCATCTTTTTGTGTCATTCCTCAGGCTTCTCAGAGCAAAGACAAATCATGGACTAAATGAGCTCCTCTAACTTTTGCTGGCACATCTGCCACTGCAGATTCCCCAGAAGGTGTCCTGATGGAACATATTAAAAGAACACTTTGTGGGATGCACCATGTCTCATCCCACTACCCCTTATTCTATAAGTAAAACCAAATGGTCAGACACAAAACAGACAAACAAAGGAAAAAAGATAATTTCTGTCAAGTCTATGGCATGCATTGCCCTGTCTTTTAGTCAGTCCAGCTGGAAAGTGACTGCTGAGGGCTGTGGTGACCCAGGGGACAGCCTTGCTCCAGCAGTTTTCCTGCTGAACAAGTCCATCTGATAGCATTCTGTACAGAAAGGGTGCACAGATTGTTTGCTTGCAAAAAATCAGGACTTGTCTGATCCGTAAACCAAACCAAATAGCTAAAATTTGTGATTTCATCAGGACACCTGGTCCTCTTAAGACCTGCTGTCTGGCCCCAGACCAAATGTGTTGCAGCTGGGAGATGAAGTGCATTCTGCAGTCTTGTACTGCTCAACAGTTCTGCATCAGAGTTGAAATGAGTCTTGAACCATTCTCCAACTGGATCTGTGGCCAGCAGGTTGCTGAGTTTCTGTGTATTAGCATCTGAACTGCCATGTACATTCTTGAGCTTCTGATTCAGTTAGGCAAGCCTTGTTTGCTCTAAAACATGTCTTATTCTGCTTAAACTTGTCCCTTTGGCCCATGAAGTGACTGTTTCCAGAAAACACACTGTAACCTTCTGATTTTCAGGTAGCATGCTGTCCTGGCTTCATGTACCCAGTGAAATTTGGGAGACACCAAAAGCATTTGCAGTAAAATAAACCCTGTGAACTCCAAAATGGTAACAATTTACTTCAGCAATCAAACTCTGCTTACTCAAACTCTTAAGACCTGGGGTGATAGTGCTCACTGCCTAACTAAAACAACAAGCTTTTACTGTCAGTATTTCAGCACAATATTAAAATAACACCTCTTTGGAGCACAGCAGTTCAGATCCACTTTCAGATAGTCTAAGAAAAGTCCTGCAGCTGAGCGGTAACATGATACAGATGTAGAGCACGTCTTTCAAAAATGTGTGATGACTTAGGGCCCTAAGTTCCATTTTCAAATCTGTTAAAAGTCTCCCCCTATTTTAAGGCTTGGAAAGAGCAATCCCTCATTCAAACACAGAAGGACAGACTAAAATTGTTCACCTTGCCTGTGAAGACCCCAGCTGACGGTGGACAGTGGAGAAGGGAGATTTCCAGATGATAAATCTGCCTCTTGTGGCAGGGCACGTGTTGCAGACTCTGGACAAGCTGCAAAAAAATCTGTAATCCTAAGTATGACCATGGAGCCCCATCTGATCATCTTTAGGTTAGTGGGGTTTGCTGGCCAGTGTGGAGAGATTCATAACACAGATACCGGGACTGTTATGAATGAAATATAAATTACAATCTGAAAGCAGCAGAAAAAAATAACAGAGCAAGGTATTTACACCCAAGGGCCCCACCAAACTGTAGAACTGGTAACACTGAAGAGGGTGTTGTTAGCATCAAGGCTAATTTATTTGAATAGGACCACAGAAGAGCTGATTAATCAGCAGAAGACCTGAGCTCTGGTAGCAGGAGGATGACAAAAAGGGTTGTAGTACACTGTATTTGTTATTTCTCTTCCCATTACCCAACAGAGAGGCAGATTTGTTGTCACACTGATCCCCAAAACGAATAAACAGGACAAGAGACAGCAACCTTGCCTAAGAGCCTTGGTAGCTGATGAGCTCTGGGAGGCTGAAGCAAGCAAACTTCTAACCCAAAACTATCCCCTCATTGCAGCTGCTGACTCGTAAAGAATGCACAAGACTTGCTTAAACATAGTTTGTCATCACCAGTAATGAGGAAGCCAAGATATTAACAGGGAACCTCCATTTTGTCACACACACAGAGGTCTTAGTTAGGCCACTCAGACACACCTGGGCAGCAGAGTGTATAAATTTAACAACTTAGAGTCATCTCAAATAAGTATCTTCCCATTTCTCTACAGAGAAATCTCTCACTGAGTTTTCACATGCCGCTTTCTTACAGGCAAGCACAAATCACAGAACAGCTTCCTGCTATTTTCTTTTTGGAGGGAAGTGGGAGAAAGGATCTGCTCCCACAGGAAACTCTGGAGGATTTAGGACTAGGTAGATGTAGCTTGCTTGGAAAAATGATCTTTTGGTTTACTGCTTATTCATGCTGAACTCATTCTCTGCAGAGTGTATGTCAAGCACAGAGACAGTGAAATATGCCCATCTTTGTCTCCTAAGCTGGCCAGGTCTCCCTCTCTATGTCCCACAGAAATGGGAGTGACTGTCAGAAAACAGAGTGGTGACTCCACAGTGAACCTGTGCCTTCCCACCTGGTACTGTGCCCACCAGCCCACACTGCTTCTCTCATCACCTCCTCAGCTGTTCCCACTCTACAACGACAGGCAGTCCAAGGGTAAAAGGCCGAGCTGAAGAAAACAGAAGTGACAGCCACCACCCCCACAGGGATCTGCCTCATGTTATTTATTAGAAGAGATGAATGACAAGGGGACATGTTTAATTTGTTTTGTTTGTTTTGTGCACAGTTTTCTGATTACAGCAGAAACAGGGACACTGCAGGAACAGGGATGCTAAGTGCCACATTTAACAAATGTTTTGAGTAGGAAACCAAAAATTCCCTTGTTTTTATTGTTGTTGGTGATGAGATTCTCTCCAGGGCCCAGCTGACCTCTGTGATTCCTGACCATAGAACTATTCAGATTAAATGATGTAATCACCATAGAAAGTTAAGGGCAATTTCTGTCATTTGCCAGGTAATTGTGTCTTCCTTGTGTTGTGCACCATTATCTCACTTGAGGACTTTCTCTTCCATGTCAATTCTTCATTCGTTGGTCTGGGTCCTCTCTCATATTTCAAAGAAGAATTCTGAGACCTTTTGTGCAGTCATCTTAACTTTTTCCTGGGTTTTTCAAGTGGTGGTTTTTTTGGTTTTTTTTTTTGTTTGTTTGTTTGTTTGTTTGTTTTTCCTTCATGTCAGGCAACACTTGAAGGTCTAAAGCACGTAATTCATCATTCAGGAAGTTGTGATTTGTTGTTTAATTTCCATAGAAAGGATCGTGGTTTTGACATCTCCTTTCCTCTTCTGCCACTCTCTCCCCATTCCCACTGCACTCTGTTCATTCTACAAGAGCTGCACAGTTCCTGCAGAGAGCTGTTAGGGTTGCATCCTGTTGGTATCTTCTGTGCTTGAAGAAGGGATCCATTTACGACACAATGTTCTGAATTCTCCACAGAAGGATGACAGAATTACTTCCCTGATGATAGCCAGGACTTTATTCACAAGGCATCTTTCCAAGGCAAACAGAAGCTTTTTTCCCTTTGGTCAAAAATGCTCCAAACAGCTTAGCAGTCTCTTGATCCTTTAGAAGCTGCTGAGAACACCTTCAGCCTCTCCTTGAACACCTTCAGCAT